TCAAAAAAACCAGCGTAGAAATCTTGGAATGTACTTTAGTAGTATGTCTTAAATGTGAACTATTGGAAGTGGAATATGTTTGAATGCGGTACTTGGTGGTATCTCGCATTTGTCAAAGTGTGTGTATGAGTGTGTGAGATGTTATTTGTGCAAGTTGAATTTATGCAGGAAATTAAAACTTTTCTGCCACTTTACATTGGCGTTAATTTAATGACCACAGTTTCGTTGGCATTCGCTTTCACTGATTTACTACTTTTGTGGAATATGCAGCTGCTGTTGCATACTTCCAGGCACAAATTCAGTACATGGCTTAAATACCCAGTAGGAAAGTCTCCATTCAAAAAAAAAACTTCATGTAAAATTTGATGCAGTTTGTGGGTTTAACGTTTCAGTTTCCAGTGGCTAATTTTTAATAATATCTTGTTTTAGCTGAGGGTGCTTGTGTTTTTAATAAAGCAATTGCAATTTACTCATAAATCCATACATTTATAACGGTAGTACCCTAAATGGATATGCATTTGAATTTTCGGTGGCCCCTAGTAAATTTGTCGTCTTTACAATTTTGTAGAAAATTTTCAGCCACTATCTGTCACCCCCAATGATCTACTATTGAGCTATTATCGACGACATTTTTTCTGTTTCATATACGCTTGTAGGCAACTGTGAAAGTTTTTGGAAAGCGACAGTGACAATACCGGAATATTGTCGAAAATGGTGATGACAATCGTCACTCTGACAGAATTTTCGCGACAATAGCGACAAAACTAAATAGCTCCATTTGAATGTTTTCACAGAAGAATTTTGCAAATTTATTTACATATATGGTAATTGCGGGCATTTCATTATTTTTCAATAATTTGAATATTTCGTAAAACTAAAATAAGGCATTTACAATTATTATATATTAATTTCATAAGACTAGCGACAATTTTGTCAACGACAATTTCAATACCCGACAGCTACAATTTGTAACTTTTTTAATGAATTTTTTCATTGATTTGAAGCCGTGGTGACAATTATTTTTATGAAAGAAAACACCCACCAAGCTGTCGAATGGTCGCCGGCAATATGGAAAATGCCTGCCGTTACAGAGATATTACTGTCACTTTATGAAATAGGCTCCAGGGTTTCAAAAAATTTAGCTATTTTTAAATCACAAAAATTCATAAAAAAATTTGTCAAATTTATCAGATTTCAAGCGAAAGCTACGTAATTTTTTTAACTCTATTTTTTTTTTAATTTTGACATTTTCGTGGATGTCTTTATTTTGTACGCAGAACCATTACCAAATTTATATTTTTATATTTTAAGGACAACCTTAATACATACATATGTATGTAAATATAAATTGTTGCGTTAAATGCTTATAATGAAACAAATTTTTTAAGCATTTATACGTATAAACAATATTAAGTTTTTCTCTCTATTGGACATTTTCCTGCGAACTTGCATACTTGCACAATCGCTACCTACCATTTGCATGGAATTCGCTCGGAGTTTTCTTCGTGTGCTGATGTATGTGGTTGAGGTGTTCACCCGCTGCAAGTGGAATGCATCGTCCGTGCCTTTATTGCATGAAAGCAAAGATTAAAAAAAAAAATGGAAATATTATTTTAAATTTTTTTTAAATAGTTTTTTGTTAAGTTAAGCGCAACATCACGCATATGTGCGGG